GTTTAATCATCGTCTGATTTAATAACCTTCTTCACATACGAAACCCCTGAAATTAACACATATCGGCACCCTACAGCTGTCTTTACAACGTTTTTCTTTGCAGTATTTAAATTTTTTTTCTAAACTCCTTTTGTAACAGCTGATCCTATGGATATAAATCGTAGGCAAAGAAAATATGGGAGTCTTTAAATTTGTTAAGATTTATTAAAATTTGACTTTACTTTAGGTTAGAGAAGAAATTGATTTTTAAAATCTTCTTGTTATTTTTTGAAGTAAACAGGTTTATAAAATTAAAATCTTGAAGAACCAAGTTAATTTCATGTTTACTTGAGAAAATTAGGGCGTGTCTGCACAGTTGTAATGATTCTCCAATACAATACTGTTATTACGTAGTTTGCGATCCATTTTACTTTAGTATTAAGGGAAATATTTTCTTCCACAAGTTCATGGAGGTTAATTTGTAAAAAGTTCAAATACTATCACCCGCTAACCTCCTAGGTAAAAAAAGGGCCATGATTATCGAGGAGTCCAATTGTTTAGATCGTCGAGAAACTTTTTGAAAGAATACATTTTTCCGCAATTTTTAATATTTACCATTTCTATTTCCTGCCCAAACGTTAACTAAAAATTTCTCTTTAAAATGGGTTTAAACGATGCCATGGAGATTTTAATCCGCTTTTTGATGTTAATTATGGAAATTTAATACCTTGTTGCTTCGTCAGTGAACAAAATGATCCTTACAAAATTCAAACTCCCACGTAAAAGGGCTCAGCATTTGCCGACAAAATACGAAAAGGGAACGACAGTCTTCTGGATTTAAAGCTTTTATACCTTTGTTTTGATACCCTGTATTTAAAAACGGTGCATTTTAGAAGGTATAATTATTACAAATGTTTTCATATTTTTCCTTGAAATTTTCTGCATCAATTCAGGTATTTAAGTTTAAAACGAAACGTCCATAATACATTTTAATTGGGTATAGGGCAAAACTATAAAGAGCAACAGAAAGAAGATTATTCATATAAAAAGAATATAAGAAAAAAAAAGCTGAAATAGGGCATTGGCAATACCATTATTCGTCGCGACGCCGACTGATCTCATCAGTTCACTCCAAACAAATTCAGTCTAGACCAGATCGAGTTTGTAGCGCGTGAAGGTAAAATAATAGATTCTAGTTTTCGTTTTAAAAGAACTAGGTATTAATATAACGAACGTTATTTATACCACTCGTGAAAAAATACAATTTGTGAAGTGCTACTATGAGGGTCATTTTGTTCTAAATATTATAAATTTATTTGCAATTGCATTTGAAAATAGGCCAATTCCTACGGATAATGCAGTTAGTGCAATTACAGCAAAATTTGATAATTTTGACTTCGATAATAATTGCAAAACGTGTTGTCCCTCTTATAGGCAACCACACCGAAATAAATTTACAGAAGAATGGGAAATTAGGGAAATGCAATGACATTTTGATGTCAGACCACCTTTGATTAACATTTAAAATAAACTTGATATTTCCGACCTTCACGTTATCTCGAAACCCTAGAAAGACGGACAGGGCACTCTATGCTCACCTTTTCCAAGAGACTTTGAGAGAGGTGGAGGCCGGAACACCAAACAATAACAATGCTTTGGAAAAAAACTCGAACATTATCCGAAGCACAATAAACAATACCTATAAGAAATCCTGCCTCCTGAGCCTGGTCCAACACGATCAGACGATTACCACATGGTAGTGTCACGAGTTGGATCATCTCAAGAAGATGGCTAATAAATCTTTTAACAAAGCAAGAACCACAAAACTCAAAGAGGACTTGAATATTTACAAATCTCACCCAAAAGAATACAAAAAAATTGTTAGAAAAAACCTAGATATGCATAGAGATCCTAATGCGGAGAAATAGAAGATTTCCCGTAGACAGCGAGGCTTCAAGAGGCATTCTCAAGAGCTTTACACCACAGAATTAGTGCACTTTTCAAACAGGATGGCATGCAAATTGCAAACCTCGAAGATAGCATTAAACTTCTGCTGTCAACACACACGCCTGACTTGGTCACGAATGTGGTCAACTGGACAGAAGGCAAATACAACCCATCTGTCTACGATTCGCAAACTGCCAAACATAATTTAGACCATGTCAAAATTAGATGAACAAATTCTTCCATTTTAATCGCCAGGGCCTGACGGTATCTTGCCAACCTTACTTCAGTGGGGTCTGGAAGAACGCGAAAGGTACATAAGAGATGTGGTGATTACAACAACACCACTGCACCCAATTCAACATGCATACACATCAGGCAGATCTACTGATTTAGCCATGCATTCAGTTGCTGGCTGGATATAGAGATCACTGGACAATAAAGAGTCTACCTTGGGTGTTTTTATAGACATAGAAGGTGCTTTTGATGAGACTACCTTTTCCAAGATACACTCACTAAACAACATGAATGTTCCTAGTTAGTGATCAGTGAACATAAGTATAGAAGATGTGAATATATGAGGCTTGGTTGCGAAGGAAATGTCCACATGGAGGGGTACCTCTACTGTGGAACATGGTTCTCGACACCCTTATCAGCCGCTTTACTAATGACAGTCACTACACAATAGCGTATGCAGATGACTTGGTCATTCTGCGAACAGGGAATTTTAAAAACATACGCTGAGAAAGAGTGCAAGTAACTTTTAAAATTATAGAACAGTGGTGCAAGCACCATTCACGTCGCATGGACTTACACGGTCATCATAACACCTATGCTGACATTCGGTGCAGTTGTCTGGGTACCAAAAACTCAAAAATTGATAGCTATCCGAAAACAAGGACACATTTATAAAAGAGCATGTCTCAACATAATAAGAGCCATGAAAACCACACCGACCAGAGCCATGGAAGTTTAATCCTAGTCTCACTTCACTTGATATGAACATCAAGGAGGTTGCTCTAATTACAATGACACACCTCTGCACGGTTGAAATAAAACCTAATGTAGGATCTGGTGATGTCGCTTTTGGCAGGAGGCGCTCGATACGCTCGCACTGCTTCAAGCAAATATGGACTTCTTTTTACCGATAAATATCTTGTATAAGCCATATAAATTTATAACAGAATAAATAGAAGAGCCGGAAGTACAAGGTACAATTCATATCTACACCGACGGTTTTAAAACAAAACAAGGCTTAGGATGTGAAATATACTCCAGATCCTTAAACCTAAACTTAAAATGGGCTGTGAGCAGTAGTGTGTGTGTATTCAAACCTAGATCACTGGGATTCTTATAGCAGCAAACGAATTCACCAAAAATAATATTTCTAGAAAAACATGCTTATCTATACAGATAGAAGACAAGCCCTACTCACCCTGGACAGACCATGAATATATTCAGGGTTAGTACTAGAATGTCACGAATCTCTTGCCGAAGTACCCATCAACAATGTGGTCAACTTAAAATGGATCATAGGTCACGCCACATCGTAAGGTATCTTGCTGATTCATTTGCCAATAAAATACTGTATGGACCTGGTTCTTATATTGAACTGACAACATCGGTATTGACAGGCCTAATTAGCAAACATTCTCTTGTAAAATTCAAAGAAAGATGGGCTGAAACAAGTAGCTGCAGATTTGCCAGGGAACTTTTAGGTTAATCCTGACAACACTACAGCGAACAAATATGACTAGACAGAATCTGGGTCTGATCACAGGCATTCTGACTAGATATTGCCAATTACGGAAGCATCTGTACATCATGGGGCTATCAGAATCTGCACAAGAAGATGAAACCATCAAGCATATCTTTTACGATTGCCCGTCACTTTCATTTATTAGAATATTTGTGTTCGGCGAGAATTAGCTAACACCGGCCGATATAAGAGAAGCACCTCTTGGTGACATTGTCATCTACATTAAATCCTGGGGTATAATATCATCGGTCATTTTTTAATTCAGGATAACCTGAATGCCCAGAAGTATTTACAACTACTTGAAAGTGACATTATTCCCGGTTTTCCCGGTCAACTTCAATGATTGGTAGTCTAGGATGCCAACCGAGGCGATCATTCGTTCATCACTCTGAAAATGATTGTTTCATCTGCTTATCTATTAGAGAAACCTTAGTTGTGTTCCAACAATAAATGTAGTGTAATTAATTATTATAAATGTTTTAAAACAGTTACTGAGTTATTTTTCACGAAAAGAAAGAATGGAAATGTAAGTTTTGCATAGAAAATTGTTCTGTTGATCAAAATCTTAGAGATAATATTTCTGATTTAAAACAAAGTTATTTTTAATAGATATTTGAAAAGAAAAATAAACTTTTATCAAATTTTGAATTACGAACTAAAATTAAATAATGAACTTCTGCATGAAAAAGTTAAAGATTTTTCCGACAAATTATCGTCAATATTTATCTTAAATAGAGTTTTTGCTACTAGTGGCAGTGTATCCTTCTTATTACAGTGAGATGCTAAAGCCACCAGTGGCTAACAAATGCTATCTATCGTCAAGTCTCTTAATATAAACAATAAATTAATAGGAAGTAGATGGATTAATAAAGACATTTTTTTACATCGATTTTCAGGCATTTTCGATAAAGATAAATCAACAACCTAAAAAGGGGGAGGGTGGCTCAGTGGTAGAGTCTCTGCTTGTGGATCCAAGGGTCCCAGGTTCGAATCTCACTGTTGACCGGGATTTTTTTATTTAATTTAATTATTTAAAATTAATTCTGATGCCTTGTTAGGATTCCCCACTCGACCATTCACTGTTGAGTTCTAATTAACAGTGCTGTTCCTAAAGTGGCGCTGGGAAACAGTTAAAAAGCCTACCGAGTACACGAGGCTAATGGCCTTAGTAGTTGATACCGATGACACCAAATTAAAAAAGAAAACCACCTAAAAATATATAGTTATTTATTTTTTATTACATTTTACAGTAATTACAAATTTATAGTAATTAAAGAAAATTTGAATTTGATACTTAAAAATATCTGTTATATTAATTCTTCCGAATAATTTTTAAACTTATTTGTCATTTTTATCATTTGTTATTAAAATTATTGTTATTACGACAGTCTTGGAAAATACTTATGAAATATTTAACATCCATTAAAAGAATAATTGAGTATTGGTTGATTAAGAAAATAAAACTAACATCTTATAAAAGCAAAATGTTAAATATTACAAAAGAATAGTCATGATAAATAAATAAAAACCAACCTGGATCTGACTAGAAAATTGCAGACATAGTAACCCAAATTAGAAAATAATAAAAATCATTTTGAGAAGTAATTCTGTATAAAATGGAAGAAGCTTAACAGTATATAAAAATAATCATAATTATCTGGGCTAATACGAGTATTAGATTTTGATCTATTTTGACTCTTCTGTTACCACTAATAGCAGAAACTAATTTACTCCCACTTAGAGCAAACATTTTTTTAAATTTATGACCAACTCATTTTCAGTATAAGTAGAATTCACTATCCTATGATTGTGTATAAAATAGTAGGTAATAATTTCATATACCACTTTTTTTTCTACCAAGTTATAGTACGAAAAAAACCTTGAAATGAGTCACAGGCCTCTTATTTCTATAATCTTACAGATTATTCTTAAATTTTGTCTTTTTCCTTCTATTATCACAAGTGTTAATATTTTTAACAATGTATGCTGGCAATATTATCCCGAATTTTGGTAATGAATCCGACCCTATAAACCAACCAAATTACCTGTAAACAATATTATAACCTTATCGAAATCGATCTGGATTTTTTCCCCTTCTCCCCACCCAGAATCCTCTCAATCTCATATAAATCTTTGCCTTTGGTTTCCGGAATATAAACACAAGTAAAAACAATTAACACCACAGCCCAAGCGCAGTATATATAAAACGGCAAAAATATCCCCACCGTTTTAGAAACAAACTGATACAACTGCACCGCCAACAAACTACCCAAAATCATTAGACCATCCCCTACACCCATCCCTAAGGCTTTAAAAGCACTCGGTGCTACTTCAGCCGTCAATATCACCGGAACGATGCCTATACCTACTTTAAAAAATAAAGCAAAAGTCATCACTGAAGCAATCGGAATCCAACTGAGCCGTATAATGTTGAATCCCATTTGTTTTAAATGAAAATACACCCCTAGAGATAGCACACAAAATCCTGATACAAGGGCTGAAACTATTATTAAAATTTTTCGTCCAAATCGGTCCACGGCTAGGCAACAGAATATTGAAGCAATAAACATTATGGCACCGTATAGAATTGCTGCTACTGACGGTTCCATGTAGACAGATCCTGCTGATTCTAATATGGTATGCAAATTCATCAACATTGCGGTGTAACCTAGTAATTGAGGTGCCAAATTTATTATGATTATTATCAAGAAAGCGTTTCTATAACTTTTAACCCGCAATATATCTTTTAAATTTGTTTTATTTTTATCCTTTTGCTGATCTAACATCTCTTTTATGTCTCTAACTTCGTTATCGATATTCTTGTAGGATTTAAAGAAACTTAAAGCCTCTTTAGCTTCTGATTCTCGATCTTTCTTCATTAGAAACAATGGCGATTCAGGAATTAGAGTCAACAGTATTAGTTCTGTCAGCACTATAACCGAACCGATGATGGGTGTGGCGTAGTATGGTGTAAACGGACCTAAGATGTAGATCATGATGGCTCCAATGTGGTCCATAACCATGATCATTCCTGATAATAGACCGCGTATTTTTCTATCTGATATTTCTGATATGTAGATAGGACAGGATATGAAACACATGTCGCTGGCAATTCCAGAGATGAATCTGAAATAGAAATAGATATTGTTAAATACAGGATGTTTCGGAATAAAGTAACTAAAAATTAAGAAAAGCTAAATATAATTTTCCTGTACACGTCCCTAATAAATAAATGAAGGCGTGTACGGAAAAACGCTTAGACACGTCGACTGGTATTTTTAACAAAAACTTTTATACACAGTGTCTTATGTAACAGTGGCCAATACCAACTTTCTTATTTTAAATGCAACCCCCTGTATATTTTTCAATTTTTGGATTCTTCAGAAAATTCTAGACATATTTAATGTACTATTTTCTATACCTAACTGTTTCGGAAATAATAAATGTTTTCCGATTTATTGCAAAAATAACATTAATAAAATAAAATTATTTGATTACACAAATTCGTTACAACACACTTAAAAACTAATAAGTAATACTGTTTATTTCTTGATAATTTAACAAAAAATAAAACACATCTTAACGTAGAAGATGTTCAAAATGCTCACCGCGAACCTTCTGGCAAAATCCTAATTTGAAATTAAAATATCTTCTAACGTTACTCTATATTTTAGGCGTGACCGAACTAATCGCAAGCGTTATTCGTCTTCTTAAGTCAGCTAGGTCGAGATGTTTAGTTTTGTATACAATACTTTTAATATATCCCCATAAGCAGAAGTCTAATGATGTCAGATCAGGGGATCGTGCTGGCCATTCCATCGATCTTCGCCTTCCTATTCACCGATATGGATATACTCGATTGAGAAACGGTCGAAAATTGATTTCGTAATTGGGCGGTGCTCCATCTTGATAAAACCATATCATATTCGCTGGAACTTGTTGGTTTGCTGGATCGGGATATAAGTTCATTAAAGTTGGTATGACAGTATTTTGGAGCAGTGCTAAATAATTATCACCATTTAAATTGCCATCAATAAAAAAGGGACCTATGATATGATCGCCGACAATTCCTGCACAAACATTAACCTTTTCAGGGTATTGCGTATGTTTTTATCTCATTTAGTGAGGATTTTTCCTAGACCAACAGCGGCAATTTTGACGATTATCATGACCGTGAAGTGTAAAGGTACACTCATCAGAAAACAAAACATGTTCTAATTGGATTACCATTTTATCTAAAATTGCCATCATTTGTTCACAAAATTTATTTCTCCAATCAAAATGGTCTTCCATGAGCTCCTAAGTTGTTATTATTTTATAGACACGCATTTTATTTTCTTTTAATGTTTGAATAATAGATGAACATTGGAGCTGCTTGTCGACTAGCAGTATGTGGATTTTCCTGAAAGCATAATATCCAAATTGGTATCATTAGTTATTACATTGGCAGCTGTTTTTTTATCTGCCTTACAAGTCCAAGCTCGCGAAACTACTCCATTTTACTAATTGTCCCTTGGGATATACCTGGCAAATTTGGAAATTTTTCATGAAGTAAGCGAGCAACTTCCATTTATATCCGTGTGTTATCTCCATAACTAATCATCTGTAGAATTGTTATTGTGTGCATTTCTGTTAAACGAACCATTTTTTTATATGCAGCTAAGGAAATTCAAACGACAACTACTGTCATGCAGTCAGATAACCATTTGCTAAGGTCAGGAGTTTTAAACAAAACTATTTAAGTATAACTTTTTTATTTCATATCAGTAAAAAGGAACGCTGAAATGGTTTTTGCTTACTTTCTCATTATCAAGACCTAAATGAGAAATAAGTATTGAGTGTGTTGAAGCGATTTTCTGTAATATAATAATTTAATTTTGTTAACGTTAATTTTTGCAATGAATCGGAAAACATTTTATATTATCTAAACAGTTAGGTATAGAACATAGTTTATAATATATGTCTTGAATTTTCTGAAAAATCTAAAAATTGAAAAATATACAGGGTGTTACATTTAAAATAAAAAAGTTGATATTGGAAACTATAACATGAGATATCCTGTATAAAAATTCTATTTGGCTGTTCAAAACTTTATACGAGTATCAAAAATAAATCTTTGCTTCACGAGATACTTCAGCGTACGCGAAATGGGACATTTTTTTCAATATTGGCATTGTACCATATTTTGTTTGCTTTGGACTGAGAGAAGAGTTCATTACAAAAAATGTACGATACTTCTTCACCGTTATCATAGTCAAAAGGATCTTCAGCTTTGCTGTCAGAATCATCAAAACAATCGGTAATTTTTAGAGAAGTACTATTTACCCTGGACAACGAATTTATTCAGGGTTAGTACTAGAATATCACGAAGCTTTGGCCAAAGTATCCATCAATAATGTGGTCAACTTAAGATGAATCAAAGATCGAAAGGTAACGGTCTTGCTGATTTACTTGCCAAGAAGGCAGCCAACCAAATACTTTTTGGACCTGGCTATTCTATTGGACTGACAACATAGCTAATGACAGGCCTAATTAAGGAACATTCTTTTGTGAAATTCGAGTATAGATGGGATGAAACAATAAATTGCAGATTTGCCAGGGAACTTTTAAGTTATCCTGACAACACTACAGCTAACAAATACTTGACTATAAATAGACAGAATCTGCACCTAATCACAGGCATTCTGACTGCACATTGCCAACTACGGAAGCATTTCCATATCATGGACCTGTCAGAATCTGCACTCTGCCACCCCCTGTACAAGAAATTGAGACCATCGAGAATATCCTCTATACAGGTCCGGCCTGGAAATACTTTGTATAAATTGAGCAATGTATATTATGAAATTTAAACAACCTTCATGCTGAAAGGGTGCTCATTAGGGTGACTACGAACGAAAATATTAAAAAATGTAAAGATTTAGTGCTTGAAGATCGACGTGTTCATATTAAACAAAATAGTTAAAAACATTGACTTATTATATCATAAAGTTCAAAATATTCTCTTAATAAAACATATTTTCTTGAGAAACTTGCTACTATGGATGAATCAAGGGTCCGCCATTAAGACCCTGAAACTAAAGTGCAGAGTAAAGAGTGGAAACAGTAAGTCTCCTTCACCCCAAATATTTAAAATGGTTCCATCAGCTGGGAAGATTATTTTTTCTTTTTTCGATTGTTGGTAATCATTACTCGTTATTAATTGTTACAAAAATTTTACAGAGGGGTATTAGTTTTCTCAAGGAATATGATTTTATTTATTTCTTTTTTTGTGTCATCGCCATCAACTGCTTTGGATATTAGATTCGTGTTATTGTTTTTCCGGCGCCACTTTAGTTATTAAGCACTGTTAATTAGAATCGAACAGTGAATAGTCAAGTGGGGAATCCTGCCTATGCATTAGAATTAATATTTAAATCGTTAAATTAAATTTAAAATCATGTAACCAGCGGGATTCGAACCTGAGACTCTTAGATCTCAAAGCCATGACTCTAACCACTAAGTCATAGCGGGCGTTGCATGACCGATACTTGAGCCAATACAAAAAATAATATTAATAATATTAATAATAATTGTCGCTCTCTTCCCACACAAGCTCAGTCGGGTTGGTTAAGATTCACTTGTAAGTGTCCAATTATAGGGAGAGTATTGTAATAACTTTTTAACGGAACTTTGTTACTTTTGAGTAAAAAAATATGATATCAACATCATTTTGTATAAAATTATTCTATTTGTTTGAAATTGATGTTTCAAATTGCTTTAAAGAAAAATATCAAAGTATATCTAAAGGAAGCAGACCAGTATGAGATGAGCAGACGGAGTAGGTATTTTTCAGATAGTTATATAATTTTTATGTGTAAAAATCTTTTTTTTATCTATAATGTGAATTATATGAGAATTCTTGTGACCCACACAGTATACAGAGAACCAAAATGAATCGCAATCTTTTAAAAATTATGATGTAATATTTATAATTATAGACAACATAATTTAATTAGAAGTTAATCTTGTTTAATAAACATTTTTCTCGGTACCAATATATAAATGCTAATAAAGTCAATTAAAAATATCAAAAATCGCTTTATATAAATATTACGTGAATTACTGGAAAATCCAACGATATCGCATAAATTGTAATTGTCTTATCTTTAATTCATGGATATGCGATTTACAGGTAAAATCATTAAATAAAAAATTTTAAAACAGTTATCTACTTATAGTCCTAGAGCCAACAAGCAGATTTGTGAATTATATGAATTACATATTCAACGAATTCAGGAAAGCACTACTTATTTTCTTAACATTTTCGTTATGCTCATTCGATGATACATAACCACTACAAGAAGTATTAAACCCTCCACCAATTTTGTTGGGTCATTTCGTATCTCCAACGTTTTAAAATATCGCGTAAAGAGACAAGTGCATGTGCATGACTTATTGTCTTATGGCGGACGTTTGGTTTATTTTTAAGTTAGTGTTTTTTCACAAAATTCACCTCCTCCAACAAATTTCGATAGGCCATTTTTATTAGATAAAAATGATACCTTTTTACTGAATTAATATACATTAAAAATATTGGGCCGTTTTTTGGTCCAACTAAAATAAAGAATTTACAAAAATATATTATTGGTTTAAATAAAAAAATAGCATTAATCTAATAAAGTATTTAGCTAAATAAATGAAAATAAAAAATCAGTGGTTTTTTGTGGTCACATTTCAGAGAGACTGCATTCAGTATCGTTTGTTTGGATTCCAAGGGAAAATGCCTATGCGTACACTATAACCAATTTATATACATATACCTTCGAAATACATTTTTTAAATTTGGCACATGTTTTATAGACTTGTATTTAAGTATCTAGTAGATAACAGCAAATAATTATTTTTCAAATCAACTAAAGAAATCACCGATTTTTACTTTACTGTAATCAGAAGAAATGTAAATGCCTATAATTTTTTCAGATACAGGAAAGTCATATGTTGAAAATATCAAATTTTCATAAATCCTAATGTGTATAAAGAAAAAGGGAAGTTTGAAGTAATAGGCAATAAAAAAGATATAAAAACCTGAAACCTTAATTTTTACAATCCGTCGTGAAAATATTCAAAGAGGTTCGTCGAATAGA